TGGCAAACCAGTGAGACTGTAGTCATTTCTTTCCATGAAACTGTGAGCCTAGTGTCTTTGGGTAGTGACAGCTGCTGAAAAAGAAGTTTAAAATTACCTTTAGGGCTGGGATATAGCTTAGCTGTAGACAAGCTGTATACACACGCTGTAGCTTGTGTGACATTTGCAAAGCCATGGGTTCAAACCCTAGTACCCAACAAAACAAAACAAAACACACACACACACACACACACACACACACACACAAAAAAAAAAAAAGAAACAAAAAACAAAAAACAAAAAAAAACCAGTTACTTTTTACCCTGTAAGAAGAAACTGCACTCTGTTCCAAACATCTCCCAAAGCCCAGGGCTCTGGTGCCCTTAAAAGTAGCATGCAGCAGCTGCCCCTAGCCACAGATACTGGGCTCTGCCTAGTTCCATGCCACTCATCTGAAGCCAAATTTCTGTTTTCACTTCTGTGGGCCTGTGGGGCTTATGGTCTGCAGCACTTGGACAAAATTCAGTACTGGGAGCCACTGCTTACACTTTCTCTTGAAATCTTTCCTACCCTAGGAAGCATAGCGTTGCTCATTAACTGAAGATTTGAAACACAGAGCTTTTGCCCTTTGCTCCAGCTAATGCCTGCATCCAACTCATCGGGGCCTGCCTGTGGAAATTTCTTTAGCCAGCTACTTTCTGAACAGTGTCTAATCCAGAAGGGAATATGTTGGTGTCTGGTCATCCAGCCCCTTTTCCTTTAAAGTGAAGCATTGATTTTGATGCCATTTAATTTCCCAGTGGGGCAAAAATGGAATGGAAAGAAATAACCGCTGGAGTAGCTATGAGTGCGGGGAGGCTTAAAGCATTCCTGTCTGTCGGCCACCAGGCAGGGTGGTTTAAAGTAGAAAATAAACCTTTGGGCTAGAACTGCCATGGGGATTTTTTATTGCAAGGGTTAGAGCAAGAAAGGCTGGGAAGGAGGTTGGTGGTGGGGGTGCTGTTGCAAGGGAGCCATTAGGGGTTTTTCTCCTTAGCTTTCACCTGAAGTCAGATCCGCTTTTCATTTCGAAGTGGGGCAGGTCATTTCCACCGGGCTCTCAGCCCCACTGTGGGTTTGTTTTTCTCTTTTAATGAATGCTACAACTTAAGCAATAATCCGGAAGAACAAAACTTTTGACTGACAGAGAAATTGTAGTTCAGGGAAATGTCCACTGAGCCCAGAAGTGTATTGACAGCTAGTCAGGGAAGGAATGCCTGCCTATTGACAGATCTGGATGCAATCACAAACTAATCATGAGCTCTGTTTAGTCAAGGAAGGCAGTGTGGCTTATTTCTTCTGTAGGTTGAAAGTCACGTGTCTTGTGATGTCTCTGACAGTGGAATCAATACCATGAAATGGTCCTTTCTTTCAGCCTTTGTGTTTGTTACTTACAGGATGCCCAGGGCAGGATACTGAGGGTTGCTGAGCCCGTGAGCACATTGAATTTGTTACAGGTGGAAGAAGCTGCTACAAGCAATGTGCAGTTTGTATACACAGAAAACCCCAATTTACTCTGATAGAAAAGAGATTGATTTTATTATTATTATTATTATTATTATTATTATTATTATTATTATTATTATTATTGAGACAGGGTTTCTCTGTATAATCCTGTCCTGGACTAGCTCTGTAGACCAGGCTGCCCTTAAACTCACAGAGATCCACCTGTCTCTGCCTCTCGAGTGCTGGGATTAAAGGCATGGGCCACCACGGCTGGGCCTGGGATTGATTATTTCAAAGTCTATTTTGCTTTTTGTTTTTGTTTTTGTTTTTGAGATCCCAGGCTGCCCTCAAACTTGTATATAGCCAAAGATGTGCTTGAGCCTCTGATTCTGCCGCCACTTCCTAAATGCTGGGATTGTAGTGTTTATCACCACACCCACTTTCTGAGTGCTGGGAAAGACCTAGGGGTTTGCGAAGCTAGGAAACCACCAGTTCAGCTCCAGTCCTACCCTTTTCCTTTTGTTTTTAATAATAATTGAACAGGAAAGAGATCTGAGAGAGGTGAGTTATTCTAGCCATCCCACTCCACAGATGAAGACAATGAGAAAACAATGGACTCTATGGGCCTGGATCCCTGGAACCTACTTTAATATGGGGTGCATTCTCTATTTTCTATTCAAAACACTAACTCTTGCCTAAGTTTGCAACATACATTTTAATTCCAGTTGCCTTCATTTGTTCCTTCTCTGATGTTCATCCTTTATGTTTGTTCATCTAAAATTTTTCTTTCCAAGTTAAAATGTCTATCTATATTTTACTTGAAGTACCAAGAACATGGTTGTATTGGACCATTTTGAACTTTTTAAAATTGAGACTGTCATACGTGAGCATTGTTTTGGGAGAGTTCACCTGCCCCATTCCCACCCCTCCAAACCCTCCCCATTCCAACCTCCACTATCCCTTCCCACTTTCATATTTTCTTTCCTGCTCCTCTTCCTCTTCTTCCTCCTCCTCTTCATCCTCTTCATCTTCCTCCTCCTCTTCATCCTCCTCCTCTTTATCCTCCTCTTCTTCTCAAATCCATGGAATCCAGTTAGTGCAGCCATGTGTGCATGAGTGTGTGTCCATACCCTGGATCATATAGTAGCCTCTCAGGGACCATATCCCTGAAGAAAACGAATTCTTCCTTCCCAGCAGCCCTCTGTTGGCAATATAGCTCCTTGGCTAAGGGAAGGAATTCCTGACTACTTCCTCCTTCCATACTTTGATGTTTTTCTGGCTTGATCTTGTGCAGATCTTGTGCATGCTGCCACAACCACTATGAGCTCATATGCGCAACTTTCCTATTATATCCCGCAAACAATGTTTCACTGTAGTTATTTACTGCCTCTCTGACTCTTCCACTCTTTCTTGGTCCCTCTTCCTCAATGATCCCTGAGCCTTGGGAGGAGGGAGTATGAGAGAGTTGTCCCATTTAGGACTTGAGCACTCCCCAATCCCTTATTCTCTGTATGTTGACCAGTTGTGGGTCTCTGTGATAATTGCTATCTACTGCAAGAAGAAGTCTACTATGACCCTCATCCTATTTCTCTGAGGGCTGAGGGATTTATTTATCTATAGGTAAAATATAAGTACTTAGGAATAAGTTTACTCCTATGTACTTTTAACAGAATAGTAGCAATAGATTCTCCTGTGGAGCCTCTGATTTACTCAGCCTCAGGTCCTTGGCCTCGTTAACAGAGTCAGACATAAATTATGTCTTGTGCAGAAGGCAGTACGTCCAATCAGAAAATGGTTTGTTACTCCTATAGTATTTGTGCCACTATTGCTCCAGGGGGCAGTAGTGTGTGTGTGTGTGTGTGTGTGTGTGTGTGTGTGTGTGTGTGTGTGTGTGTGTGGGGTGTGCCCGATGTGTATGATGGCCAGCTGTGAAGGTGAGAGGACAGCTCAGTGGAGTCAGTCTTCCCCCTCTCCTGATGTGGATGCAGAGGATCTCAGGTCACCATTCTTCCCCAGCAAGTGCCTCTACCCACTGCGCCATCTCACCAGCCTAAATTCAGACTCTTTACCTAACTCATCTTCATTTTAAAGTTCCTGGGAGACAGATTCACTGACAATGCTTTCCTTCAGTTTTTGTTTGTCTGAGAAAGTTTTATGCTTCCACATCTAAAGGAAGGGTCTCGGGTTGTTTCTGTTAGCTATAGAATTTTTCTAGATTTTTCTTCTTTTGTTATTTTAAATATTTTATTTTACTTCAGACTTCTCTTGCTTGCATGCTTCTGGTAAAAAAAAGCCCACTATTAGCTGGGTGGTGGTGACACACACCTTCAATCCCAGCACTTGGGAGGCAGAGGCAGGTGGATCTCTGTGAGTTCCAGGCCTGCCTGGTCTATAGAGTGAGTTCCAGGACAGGCTCCAGAAGGGAAGAAAGAAAGAAAGAAAGAAAGAAAGAAAGAAAGAAAGAAAGAAAGGAAGGAAGGAAGGAAGGAAGGAAGGAAGGAAAGGAAGGAAAGAGAGAAAGAGAGAAAGAAAGAAAGAAAGAAAGAAAGAAAGAAAGAGATAAAGTCTACTATGACCCTCATCCTTATTTCTCTGAAGTCAAATGAAAATCTTCATCTTCTTTAAGACACTTCTCTTTCAGGTTATCATAGTTTAGATAGAATACATTGGCATATTCTTTTCTTTTGGTTTTGTTTGCTACAGAGTTTTTGTATGATGGTGTTTATATTAGATAATTTCCTAGAATTTGCTTCTGTCATCCTGCATCACCCATCTTGACAGTCTGCCACCATCACACTACATCTTGAGTGTGGTCTATTTTTTGCAACTGAACACTTAACATTCTAAGATTTACTTCAAATTTCCTATTAGTAATCTATCTCTGTATGATGAGTCTGGCTCACTGCTTGCTTAATCTGTGAGTGTTCTTTTGTTTGTCTGATATGCCTTGTAATCCTCATTTCATTTTATATGTTTGACTTTTTTGTTTGGTTGATTGGGTTTGGGATATTTTGCTGTTCTGTTTTTTCCCATTTTAAATTTGTTCTTTGGCAGTCTCACACATGTACATAGTGCATACTGACCACCCTCACCCCCAAATCGCTCCCTTTTCACTGTAACCCATGTCCATCTCTTCCCTTCCCCACAATCTCTTTGTCACATTCATGTCTATTTATTTTGTTGTGTGGATTCACTGAATTTAGCCAGGGCCATGGATTTGGAGGAAATATCTTAAAAAAAAAAAAAGACAGAAGAATCTGCTATGTAGCTTAGGCTAGCCTGGCCTCTACTCAGGTCCTCCTGTCCCAGCCTCTTGACTGCTCTCCTCATCAAACAAAGGAAGCATGGGAATTTTATTTAGAGAATTTATATAATATATATATGACAATGCATGCAAGTGTGGGCATATCTCTGAATATGTTCAGTTTAAGGTTACAGATCACAGATGCACAGATATCCATATAGGTAAAACACCCACAGACATTGGGGGGGGAGGGAGAGGGAGAGAACCATGCGGGTACTAGGAATAGAAATGAGTGCTTGTCTTGGCAGCATATATAATAAAGTTGGAACAATGCAGAAAAATTAGCATATCCCCTGTGGAAGGATGGCTTGTGGGTCCGTGGAGTATTTTATATATTTTAAAAGGAAAAAATGATGCAAACCTGAGCATGCTTGGCTCAAGGTCAAAAGGGGAAGCTGTTGGGTAAAAAATGTCTGGGTTTGGTAGATTCAGTTACTTTGGTTGCCTAAAATAATCAACCTGTGTTAGGTAGTTAGCTATCAGCAGGAGGAGGGGACATTATCCTGGAACTTTCCCTTATAATCAGGGGCTCATCAAACCAAGAACAGAGCAGCAGGTCCCTAATTATTGCTCAGAGTCCTGACTCTGGCCCTGGGAAGAGACGAGATATCATTAATTGATAGCTATCAAACCTGGTTCCAAGGACCTGAACCCTTATGAGATTAACGTTTAGAAAGAGGATATCTGATAAAGAATGAAAACATAACATTTTCCTTCCTGCAAGAGTCAATCCAAATGGGCCTATCAGTCACCTGGACAGGAAGAAGTTTCCCTGCAAAACTGTCTACCCTGGAAGCTTAAGAAATAGTATAACACCAGCCTAAAATGTAAACCAGGGTCCCTTTGGCTATTATCCACTCTCACTCTTGAGAGACCTCCAGGTCACTCTGTAATATAGACTACCTGTTTTCTCCCCTAATCTCTGTGTCTCATTAGAACTCCTTCCACAGAGATTGCAGGAACCTGGGAGGTGAGGAGAGGCAGATGGACTTCAAATGCTGAGTTACTTGGTGACCTTGGTTGTCCCTTCTAAATGTCTCCAAAGCGTTTTAGCTGAAATGTAAAGAATGACACTAAAAGTGTATCAACAGACTCTTTCAGGGGTGGCAGCACTGTCCCGAAAGCGTGGAGGAGATGGCTCCTAAAGGTGCCTGCCTCACATACCAGGAAATGATTATACTGCAAAATAGGAATTGAAATATGTTGGCATGTAGTGTGAGGATTTGTGTTACTATGGCTGAATGGATTGATTGGGCTGTATTTATTTACGGCAGCTTGTGCCAGAGGCTTTAGATTCCTCCAGTGTTCTGGTTTTGTTTCCCCTCTTGACTGTGGGCTCTCTTAAATCACCTCCCCTGAGCTTGTTTCAGCAGCCCTTTCCACTCTGAAACTCTGGGGGTGTGGTGTGAGCCCTGGGGAATGCAGGTTTCTATATCTTACAATTAAATCTCAAGATTATTAGCCAGTGCCCTAAATCTGTGGCCTGTGCTCTTCGTATGTGTTTCTTCTTGGCCAGCTCTTCTACCCCTTAACGAGAGACAAGAGGGAAGAAGGGACTGGCATGAGGTGAATTCTCTTCTCCTTGGGCTTAGGGCTAAGCTAATGCCGATGAAAGCCACTCAAAAAAGCTCTGTATACATCAAACACAGATCTGACACAGCAGGGAAGGCTTCCTCTCCGATGTTTACTGTAATTGCTAGGGTTCCAGTAAAAGCAAGAGGCTAGCTTAAGACTAAGATTGGTCCTTACAGTGACCTACAGGGCTAGGACTCCAGCATTTCTGCTCCTTGTAGATATATCTTGTTTATGTCCCTGGATCTGCCCTTTTCTCAATTGCAGGGAGACAATCTGCTGGGCAAACAAGGTTATTAGGTAGTTTTCCCAGCCTTTTCTAGATGGAGTAAGAAGTATGACTTTTGAGCTCTTAGCCTATTGGAACTGAAGCAAGTATCTCTATATGGTCTTCTATTATATAAATAACCTAACATGAACATTAATATGGGAAAATCACTCAAAATTATTAAGCGTCTCAAATAATTTGGAAATAGTGTAAAAAGAGGAAAGCATCCAAGCCCCTTCTTGCTTTGTAGCAGGCCTTTTTCTAGTTATAAAAGATGGTATGCTCATGTTGAGAAGTTTGTGACTATAATGAGTGCTGTGGGATGAAATACAAGTTGTGTCTAGTTTTAATAGGCAAAGACAGCCAGCTAGTGCTTCACCATATCGCTTCCCTTTTTCTTTGCTACATGCTGATCGTGAGCCTGGCTCATGTTAGTGTCATTTTATTAGTGCATGGTCCATTCATTAGCCGAGTGTTGCAATTAGCTATTTCCCATGTCACTTAAATATTCTTCAAAAATATTTGGCATCTACATAAAACTTCATCATAAGGGTGTGTTGTGTTTATTAATTATCTGTTTGGCTATAATAATCCTATGCATACATTTTTTATATACCTTAAACTTTCCTAGAAGTTACTAGAAACAGAATTATTAGGTTAAAAAGTTATTAATACTAAGAATATATTAATATTCTTATGCTTTTGATACAGGTCAATTTCTTACTTTGACTAAGAGAACTTCCACCACCCAATACAGGGTCTTGCTATGGATAGCCCAGCTTTGTCTCAAGCTAGTAATCCTTCTGCCTTAGCCTCCCAGTTGCTGGAATTATAGGATGAATTGGCACACCCTGCTAGGTTTTTCTGGATGGAGTTAACCTAGTTACTATGCTAAAAACAAGGCAACCCACAGGATTCATTTTCTCACCCACAGATAGCACTGAGAGGGACCAGCCCTGCCCGACCCCACCCTGGCCTTCAGTTTGGCACAGATTATTTATGTCATTTGTGTATTAATATGTTGAAATTCTTATCTCCGTGGAGATGGTAATAGGAGTTGGGGCTGTTGAGAGGTGTTAGGTCATAGCAGTAGGATTTTTACAAATGAAATTTGTGTCTCTATGAGAGAGACCCTGAAGGGAGCAGGCCACTCACCTTGACCTGAGTACTGCCATTTTGACTTCAGACTCCATTTTATCTATAGAGTGAAACAAAGTTCAGGTTGCTAAGCCTTCGGGGAGCTCAGAACTTTCCAATGGCTCACCACCCTCCCCCCTAAACCATAGAAATAGTCATTATGCATCTTTAGGTCTCTAGAAATATGGCTCTTCCCAACAACAGAAGGAACAAATGAATATGATTGGTTGGGCCGGAAGGCTTGCACTGCATGTCTGTTGACAATGATGGAACACACAAGCAAAGCCCCTAATATTTGATTCCCGAATGGTGAAAATTATAAGTGTAACATGGCAACAAATGTTTGTGAATTTTGTGCTTCTGCCCCCGCTTGGGTCTATAGACACGTGGATCGAGATTCACTGGACTAGGCTCAATATAGGTTAATATAATTTTATTCGGGGAGAAGGCACTTACACAGGAAACAGATGACCGAAACAAGTTCCCGCTCCAAGGATCCACACAGGCTGCTCTCTGCGACCCGACTGGAAGCCAGAGAGAGAGCCACCTGTGCCCTGACTCCAGACCTAAAATCACTCATGTCCCCACCTGTTACCACACCCAAACAGGCATGGTCTGCGCTACAGATGTGAGATATCGCACTACATTTCCCCTTTCAGTCTAAAGAAAAAGATTTAGGTTTGATATAAAACTCTATGCAAAGACAGAAAATACCAAGTATGCTCTAGGAGGAGGAAAAGTAAGAACAAACACATTTAAGACCTATTGTCAGTGAAGCAACATAGAGCAAATGGCAAGAACTATATATCCATTCCTAGGGTAAAGGCATAACAGAGATTACTATAGAGTTGTCCTAAGCTGGAAAGTTTAAGTCTTGTACCTAAATATTTCTTTCTAGGAAGAGAGAACAATAATTGTGGCAGTCTAATCTTCAACCTCTTCAAAGATCTGAGAAGGAGGATAAAAATATGAGGGTAGGCAGGAAGTGCAGGCGAGAAACTTCCAAAAGGTGCAATGAAGGCAGAAACATCAGGCTACCTGGGCAGTCACCCAAAGTCTCACAGCAGTGTAGGGGCAACCAGCTTTGCCTAAGGCCTAGAGTATCAGACTGACCAACACAGAAGCAGGGAGGTTAAAAGGCTGTTTTACCCGACTTGGCAAGGTTCAGCATTCTTCTATGTTTGTCTTTTGCAAGCACAGTAGGACAGCATCAAGTCAGCGGTCAAGGTGGGAGCAATTCTTTGCCCAAGAGGCCAGTAGCCGAGGAGAGAATGAACTACAGGAGAAGTGTCATCAATGCCCAACATATACTCAGGAAAGCTTGGTGCTGTCAGGAGCAATTGTGTCTCAAGTCAATGGAGTACTAATATTAAAACAGGTTTTCTTGATATATAGAGATATGTTTCAATTGGATAGCCATTCTTCAAACCTTTCAAAGACCTACAGAATATGTCATTTAAAATGGTTTAGGGTTTTTCTTGACAGTGAGACACAACTACTCCTGGCAACACCAACTGTGTCAGAAGGAAAGATGGACACGGAAGAAACTTGTTATGGAGTTTGCTTCCAATATGGCAAGACTAGTCATTTGGGTAAGAAAGAAACTGCTCTTGTCTGAACTCTTTGACTGTTGCTGTATGAACTGGACATGCAGGACCCACAGGGAAGTGACTGCTGAAACAAGATGGGATATTGCTGCAGGGTTCCTGCTTCATGGAAGAGTCTGCCAGACATCCCACAGGACACAGAGAAAAGTGACTGACAAACTGCCAATACAGGCAGACAGTTTAAAGTTTCCTGCTTTGCTGAGGCATCTGCCAGACACACTATGGCCTATGGGGCAAAGATGGAACATTACAGAAGAACTTCAGGTGAATGACCAGGGAGCGAGTTGTCTCTCAATTCTAGAGTTTGTATATTATCCTTCTGTGGCCTTTGATGGAGTTGAAGACAGATAGTTATGGTTATAGTTTTCCTTAGTTAGGATTAAAGATAAGTTACATATAAGACTTTAGACTCACAAAGATAGGATAGATGATGGAGTATTTTCTTTAAATTTTGCTGAATGTTGATGAACTAAATATTGTTAACTATAGTTCTTATTTGATAACTGTTTTATTATATGTGATTTTCTATGTTAAAGTTGAAACCCTTTTTTTTATTTAGACAAAAAAGAGGAGATGGTAGGGAATGGTCTTCTGTATATATTTATCCTATTCGTTGATGAATAAAACACTGTGGCCAATAGGGCAGCACGATAGGCGGGTCTAGGAGATGAGGAGGTTTCTGGGAAATGTAGGCAGAGAGACCACAATGGAGTAAAAGGCCTGGACCTTTTCTCTGGTAAGATAAGACCATGTG